GGAAATTTATGTCATCCTAATCAGTAGAGGTGATAAACATTACCATTAAAATCTAGCCGATGACTTTATAGACATACACAGGTGCCAAGGAGCCAAGTGTAACTGATTATGATTAGCAATAATCAGATACAGACAGATTAGAGATGCATGCACCAAAATCTCAGTGTTAGTAGCAAAAACAATGAGTCTTTCTGCAAGGAACAATATATTCTAAAATGAAATGGAGATCTTTTTTTAAAGGTTAAAAACACATTCAATTTTATGTCTTGCAGGGCTTATATTAAGTTCAATATTGTATAACTGTATTAATTCAATTGTGAACCTAGAAACTTGCAGCCACTTGTGAAAGAGATGTACTCTTGCTCTTGAGTGTGTTACTGAATATGTTAGAGCTGTAGTGAAATGCTTCATGTAGTTATTAAAATATTAAAAATTTTTAAAAACTAGTGATTAAAAAAATAATTCTTCAAAGCATAAAAATTTGCTCCTTAATAATTAGTAGATGTGAAAAACATTACCATTGAAATCTACCTGATAACTTTATATCCATGCTCAGATGCCAAGAAGCTCAGAAAGTAACTGACTGTGACTGGTAATAATCAGATATATAGAGATTAAAAATGCATGTGCATCTTAGTGTCCAATTGCATTAAAATGAATTTTTCTGTATGAAACTGTGTATTTTAGTAATGGAATTGAGATTTTTTTAAAGGTTAAAATCTCATTTAATTTTATGTCTTATGGGGTGTATACTGAGTACAATATTGTATAACTGTAATAATTCAACTGTAAACCTAAAAATTAACAGCCAATTTTGAAAGAGATGGATCTTAGCTCTGGAAATTGTTATTGAATATATCAATGCTATTGTAATGAAATGCTTCTTCTAAGTATGTGGTTATTAAATAAATAATTTTTTTTAAAAAAAGAAATAAGGGTGAAGAAAGTTAAGGTAAGAACACGCTGGGTTGGGGAGATGGTTCAGTTGGTAAAGTGCTCACTTTTCAAGCTTGAGGACCTGAGTTTGATCCCCACAACAGATATTAAAAAGCTGGGTGCAGTGGCACACATTTTAAATCCCAGTACTTTGGGGTTGGCTACCTAGCCAGCTTGTCCTAATCAGTGAACTTCAGGCTATTGAGATACTGGTCTCAAAAAACAAGGTGAATGGCTCCTAAGGAAAGATACCCAAGGTTGAATCTGGCCTTCACACACATACACATGTACTCTTCCCACACACAGACATACACAAAAATGAGGATGTTAATTAAGAAGAAAGGTGTTGAATGATCTGCTCCTGAGGCCCAGCCTAGGATGTCAACTCAGGACAAACAGACATGGGGTATGTGTGCTCAGTGAGGAGAACAGACATGGGTTAGGTGGGTGAGTCATCAGGGTTCTGTGGCACATATCTCAACAGCATACCCTTGTCTACTGCCACACACTCCTCCATGAAAAGTGTCATAGAAAGGAGGGGAGGAAGGAGGCCTCTCAGGTGTGAGCCAGCAGCCCAAAGCAGGAACCCAAGGCATTTCCCTCATGCCTTATGGGGAAGGTGAAGCAGTGGGTTCCCAATTTCTACTCCAAGGTCAAAGAAGGAGAGGTGGAAATCTATGGGAACCTGTAGGAAGTGAGTCTCCAGCATATCCTTTGTTTGGACACCTGCTTAAGGAGAAATGAAGAGGAAGATGTAACCAGGTGTTTGGTTATACTGCTAGTGGCAAGAACTACAAAGGGAGGGGTGGATGTGACTGAAATACAAACCTCTGAGAAGGTTCTCTTTGTTTCCTAGGGACTTGCAAGTGTACTCCCCAAGACTCTGCATGTGAATCCTCACTACTGAGTGTGAAGATCAATGGTCACCGCTGCCAGACAAGCAGAAACGATCATTAAGAAAGGGCAGTGAGAGGCTGGAGAAGAACGTGTGGTTAGCATGCTTGAGGCCCTGGGTTCAATCCTCAGCACCAAAGATCACCTCCCTAACTCTTCTCTGTGGCAAATGGGCAGGGAGGGAGTGAAAGAATCACTGTCTCCCCCAAACCCCAAGCCTGTGTGAAAGCCTGGTCCTTGTGTCCAGATGAACTGGGATTTCCAACTTGATCAGGATCCGTTGTTTCTGGCACACTCATTCATTTTTTTAGAAGAAAAATGGACCAAGAATTTATGCTATCTGTACAAGTTCTTACAGAGGATTCTGATACTAGTATAAAGATATTCAACAGGGCACATTTGGAACTAATAATTGCAGAAGAATAAGAGTATTTTGTGTTTATTATTCCACAGAACAAACACTGCTGGATAAATCAGGCACATAAGCATTTACTGTGTTTAAAAGACTGTTATTAAAAGAAAGGCAACATTGTCCTATTCTTTACTTATATATCTTTTAAAATATCTTCTATATAGAAATTTGTTTGCATTATAAGCATTTGAACTTGAAAGGTCTTCATGACACTGCTATGCTTAAAATTTCCACTCACCGGTCATGAGGCTGTCCACGAGGGATTACTGGACTCTAAGCATGGTGATGACTGCCAAGCTTGAAATTAGATTTCTTTTAGATCTAATTGTGTCCTGCATAAATATGTAAAGGATGGATACAGTGGGCTCCTAGTCAACCAAATTAGAGGGATTTTATTTGCAGAGCCATCCAGGGGTGAGTGTGAATGCCCAAAACAGTTCTTGACTGGGGCCCCCAAAAGTTGTCTAGTTGACCAACAAGTCTAAAGTTAGCAGCAGAATCTTCTCTTGTAGTTTAAGCAACAGCTATGAAAAAACAGCTATGAAATTCAATCTTCATTCAAAGGTAAGTAATGAGTAAGAAAGAAATAATATAAATACTGTGTCTGGCCAACAGCAAACTGAAACTGCATGGTGAAGAGACACGCATTCCAAAGAAAATGGCATCAAAATATTTAGAGAAAAGATGCAATTTTTCTGAGGAAAAGAAAAACTGAACTCCACAAAGATAAAGCACAGTTCACAAAATACCAGCTGTCTTAGGAGTGACCACCGATTTGTTCACAACTCTAAGAAATGAGCGAGTGAGGGCAATGAATGGGGCTAAGGCACAGGCAGCATCCGATTTACAGGAAGGAGCATTTCAGAAGCTTCAGTTTATCTCTGCCCTGAGCGCTCAGGTTGCAAAAGACAGTATCAGCTTTTATTTGCTTTAAATTTTGACTGGGGATTAGGAAATGGGTGGTGCTTTATTTTCACACAGACAGAGGAAGCCAGACGATGAGAAGACAGGCTGAAAGTATATAAACACCCCCAAAGAAGTCCAACTTAATAACTACTACAGTTTCTCCGGCACTGGAGTAGTTAGAGAGTCCCAGTCGTGACCTTGTCCCGAGTGATCCACTTTCCCCAGGAAGGTTGCCAGTGAGGCACGGGGCCTCCGGCCCTAGTCCTCATTCCTGGTGTGTCGTGAGCCAGTGCTTCGTCCTGATCCCTTATCTCAGAATCCTAAACATACATGTTTCACATCCCATCCTTTGCCTAGACCAGGCGGTTTCCGTCCCTGCTTCCTTTAGCTCAGTCTCTGACATCCCTCCCTTGCCGCATTAAGAATTTTACATGTAGATTTTCTAGTTCCTGGCATGTGTGACATGACAGATGGCATCTGATAATGACAGAGAAACTGGGACATTCCTTAGCTAATCCAGCAGAGCACCAAGACTTCCAAAAAACATTACCTGCTTTGGCTGAGCTCCCTTGGAAAGAATATCCAGTAAGTCAGCAGACGAGATGAAGTAGAAGCGAGGGAAAGCTACACGCTTGGTTTCCAGATATTCAGCAAGCGCTTTTTCGCAAAGAGAAAGCCTGCATGAATGAAAAAGCTCCTTAAGAATATCCTGGCATTTCCAACATTGACACGTCCACAGAACAAGCCCAGCACCTACCACGTCTTCATTCAGTCAGTGAGTTCACCATTTCACAGCTAGCCTCCCTCTCCATCTCTGACACCACCATCCTGCTTACAAACAGTATACAACCAGGCCAAGAGGAAGACATATACACATATACACATCCAATTAGTTGAGGCTAAATATAAACCAGACGGGTTTACATCAACGCTTTTTGTAATGAAGGTTAGATTTGGCATTGCTCAGCCAAAGCACAAATTGCAGTAGTCAGAAGTAACTGGGCTATGGTTCTTTCTCCCACGGATGTCTGCAAAGCACAAGTGACTTCCACCTTCTCAGGCATTCAGAGGACTCAGAAGATCCAGAATCATTCCCATGTTATTATTGAGGGCCCTACTTAATGGTTAAATACAAATAATGAAATTCTGTTGGTGAGCTCCTCGTGTTAGTGGTTGATTTGCCCATTTAAAATCAAAAGTGAGAATCTTCTTGCCATCATTAAATGTTACAGAATTATACGTGAAAGTGACTTTACAAATGGTCCTCAGGAGAAGGATTTTGAAAGTGTGATTATGCTCCCTACGGATAACTTGTAATTGAAGAAAAATATAAAGCAGGCAGAGGTCTCTCATACCTGTAATGCCAGCACTTGGAAAGCAGAGGCAGGAGAATTCCTGTGAGTTCAAGGACACCCTGGGACAACAACAAAAAGAAGAAAAATAAAGAGAAAAAGAGACTAGAGGGCTTGGAGTGAGTGAGTGGTGTCCTGGGTTTTGGTAGGTGTTCAATCAATACATGCAAAAGAATATGCTGAAAGAATTGACCAGCTAGGTTTGTTCTCTTAATAGTCTAATTTTGCTATTATAATTGTTTTCAGAAAATAGAAATATACTTGCATTTATATAAACTCACTGTATAGAAATGACTATATGTGAATATATGTGTGTGTATAACCTAACATATACAAGGCAACTAGACAATTATGAATGAACAAAATTATAAAATAACTTGGTAGAGACTGACCCTATAATAACATGATGTTAAATACTATTAGGACTATGAGAGGAATTTCATACAATTTTAGCAAATGAATCCCCTTTATTTACTCTTCTTACCTGTGCTGTAAATCTTTAAGTTTCTCATAGAGATGGGGTCTGCATGTTGCTTCTAAAACATTTTTTATTTTGGCAGTCTTGAACATTAACTCCTATATAAAAGTATAACATAAACATTAGAAATTCCACCATCTTCCTTCCACTGAGGCTAAATGTGAAGTCCACATAGCCTGCAGGAGCGAGGTTAGGAGATGCCTGGTACCACATTTGTTTCTGCTACTAAACTTTTAGATGAAAATCAGAAACAGTATATAATCAAAATAAATGTTATGATACCACCACTCTTCTGGGCCCACATGGAATTTCTGTCTTCTAAACCAACCAACCAACCAAAAACATCACAAAAGGAAAAGGAAGAAGATGGGTGCAGAATCGTAAAAGGATAGCAGTGCTACCAATACTTTCCTTGTCAAAAATGAAAAAATTATTATTCGTTTAGGAGTTCTGCTTTAGATGAAAAGAAAAAACATGCCTTACTTCATTTTTTTAAAGCTACTATTTTTTGCTAGAAGTCTCTCAAATGGGGCGTCATCCCCCTGTACCCATCCCCATGTGTTCTCTGGCCTCTCAGTGGAGGGGAGGGAACAGACTAATGGTGGTGTTGCCACCCATTTCTTCTCAGTCTCTTACGCATGAAGAAAACGCTACGATCCCTTTTACTTCAGCGGTCATTGACCCACAGGACAAATGTGGCCTAGTGTCTATTTTTGTATGATACAGAAGCTAGGAATGTTGTTGATGGTTTACATAGTTGAAAAATATCCGAAGCAGCATGGCTTTTTGTGACAAAAGAAAACTACATGGAATTCAAATGTCAGTGTCTATAAATATGGTTGTATTGATGCTGTAATACCTATTTCTTTACATAGTATGTGTGCCATGCCAATGACGACACTGAATAGCTGTCATGGAAATGGCAAGACTGTAAAAACATAAAATTTCCACTAGCTGGTCATTCACAGAAATAGTTCCCGACTTCTACCTACTGAAATGCAAAAATTATATTTTATAAATACAACACTATGAATCATGGATCTGTTGTGGAAACTTTCTTAGAATAAAGTCTGTCTCTGACGAACCTTGAATTCAACATCTACTCCGTCAAATCTTCTGGCATCTTTCACAAGCTGGAGTCGAATGTCTTCTGAACAAACAAAAATGCTTTCTAGATGAGACCAAGTTCGCTGGACTTCCATCCAAGTAAAGATGACTGAGTCGGTTATGTTTAACTTATTTTGCCAGCTTAAGACTTGTTCAATGAAGTACTCCACGTGCTTGCTTTGAAGAAGAGTCTGCAACTGAACCTAAAAGAAAGGCGGAGACTTGTCAATCACTGGTTGATGGATCATGAGTACCCTGAGAGGCCATGCTTGTTGCCGGGTTGTTGGGCCTGCCATGGAACCCAGACAGGCATTATTAAGCTTTTCCAAATGAGTTCATGAATTCACAGCATGCAGTATTCATGTTAGTGTGTCCAACTAAAGAAACAAGATAAATATAAGCAGTTGTACTTAATATATTATATCTTATAAGAAGACCATGTACCTCCATGCACAAAAAAAAATCTGTATTAGGAGCAGGGAGATAGCTCAGTCAGTAAAGTGTTTGTTGTGCAAGCACGGGGGACCTGGGTTCCAATCCCTAGCACCTATGTAAAAGGCTGAATGTGGTGGTCCACAATTATAATCCCAACACTGGGGGACAGAGACAGGCAGATCCCTGGGGCTCAACTGCCAGCCATCCTAGCCCAATCAGCAAGCCTTGGTTCCCAGTGAGAAAATCTCTCAAAAAATAATAATAAATAAATAAATAAATAAATAAATAACGTAAATCCACCAACCAATATTGTGCAGCTAGGAGCAGCTTTATGAATTAAAGCATTCATAACTCAGCCCCTGGGCCTGCCTGTTCATCACTCCAAGGTGTGTGTGTATGTGTGTGTGTGTATGTGTGTGTGTGTATGTGTGTGAATCTAAAAACAAACGTCCTCCATCCTGCTAGGTCCTCAAGCTTCCCTTTTCCTCTCCTTACAGTTGGTAACTACGCTCTATAGCAATTTTATCACCAAGTCTTGCTGCCACATGCTACAGTCTGATTGTCATTTCTTGCCATGTCCTGACATGGAATCTCAGAACATCACAGGGTGGAATGAACATTTCTCATTCTTCTTCACTGTAGGTAGTCAACTTGGTTTCTGTGCAGTATCCTGGCTCCCTTATCTCCCTGTCCATTGTCTTTCCAGCTTTCTTCTGACTTTTCCTCTTGTTAACCAAATGTAGCTTTTCTCAAGGCTCTAGGCCCAGCTGGCTTCCCTCCTTCTCTCTATCCAGCTCCCAGGTTCTCAGGATACTAACAATGGCCTCCCAACCCTTGTGCTATACTGAGTCTCTGTGCTGGGCTACTGGCTGACTTCCACCTTTACATAAACAACCCTCACTTTAAATCTGCCCAGAGTCATATGTCTAATCATAATGGCAGTTATTATTTTTCTCCAAACAGTCTCTTCCACATTTCTTCTCTCTCAGGTCCAAGGAGAGGCCCATCGCTACAGTCTGTGTTCACATCGCTACATGCTGTGCTCACATCTGTGTCTCCACCCTTACTTTCATTACTTCATGAAGATGTATATTCCAAGGATCCTAATGTCTTGAAACCAGCCCTGAGAAGTGGGTACTTTCTGGAATTCCAAGTACCACTAATACTGTCCCCATTGTAAAACTGTCTTTTCCTAATGGTCACTTTTTGCTGAAGGCCAGACCATCATTTGAGGTGCAGCATAACTACCAGCACCTTCCAAGTACTTTCCTGACATTGCTCCCCAGTTGAAGGGCATCTATCTTTCTTTAGTCTCCTTTCGGAAGCACAAGTTCCTTGAGAGAAAGTATTCATACCTTTGAATTCCAAATGGTACCATGCCTGGAGCCTGACAGAACTAGATACTCAGTGAAGAGATGAGCAAGTCTTGAGTATTAGAACATGGAGAAAATCTAAAAATCACAAATTAAAACTTAAAATTCTCAGTGAAGCTGTCCATCTTACTTGGTTGTGCTCTAGAGTTTCAAAAAGTTGTTCATCAGACTTCAGTAAAGGAATGCCTGTTCGATGGTGAACTTCATAAGAAAATTCCAAGTTTCCCCAAGTGTAGCTGATTTCCATTATAACCTAGTAATCAAAATTATCAATTAAAAATTTGCATAGAAATTTAATTTAGGTTCACTATCTCAGTCATTACTAGAATTTCTTTTAATGTTTAAATAACTCCCTCAAACACAGGATGGTATTAAATATTACTAACCTCGTTGTTTTTCTCTAGGTGATTCATGGTGACAAGTTTGGGAAAGTGACTTTCATCATATCAGAGAAGCATCACACTAACATCAAACTTCCATTGGATCTGAGTTTTATATCCTTCCTCCCAAAGGCATACAAGTGCAGGAAGGCACTCAAAAGGGTACGCCAAGGTTTGGAAGATACTATTTCTAAATTAGCCAGCACAAGATAGGACACAGGTGAATCTCAGATCCTTGAGGGAACCTGGGCCAGTTAGTTACCCTGCTAGATATCAGTTTCCCCGTCTGCAAAGTGGGGATAGTACGTTACCTACTGAAAAGACTAAATGAGTTCATATAAGTGAAGCACTTAGAGTAGAGCTTGCTGCAAAGGAAAGGATGCAAGTGTTTTCTCCTCCCATAGCAGGGCCAACCCTCCTGATGTAGCATGAGCTGTGATGTGCTTTCCAGTGAGTCCATGTCCTGCCTGTGGCACCCACCTAACTAACAATCGAGAACAAACTTGGATGTGTGCTCCACACTCTCAGAGCAGTGAGAGCTTCTCCCAACTTGGCTTCTAGGCTAAAGCACAAACCCAGCATCACAATGTCACAGAGAAGACACAGCCCTGAGGCTATCACCTTCTCTGTGCCCAGCTCCTTCACAGCTTTGTCTACGATGTCACGCACATCATCTTCCCCTAACTAACAATCGAGAACAAACTTGGATGTGTGCTCCACACTCTCAGAGCAGTGAGAGCTTCTCCCAACTTGGCTTCTAGGCTAAAGCACAAACCCAGCATCACAATGTCACAGAGAAGACACAGCCCTGAGGCTATCACCTTTTCTGTGCCCAGCTCCTTCACAGCTTTGTCTACGATGTCACGCACTTCATCTTCTACTCTGTGCAACTGCAGCGTCAGCATGTCTGCCAATGTTGTGGTTTCATTTATTGAAAATCTGACCTGGTTAAGAAGAAAATGAGCAAGACTTGATAATCCACATTTAATAATGATCCCTGAAAGCAGGGGGCAGTGCTGGTGTTTTCTTTATCTCATAGTTCCCAAGGCATCCCCCACTGAAAGTCTAAAGAAGACCCTAGGGCCAGGGTCTTCGCCATGTTCATACACAGTCTATTTTGTTTCATGCCCTTCGCCTTTGAACACACCTTTGCCCACAAAATCCTTTCTAAAGGACTCTCACTGTTCATTTATTACAATTTGATTGAAACCCCAGGAACCAGGCAGCATCCCATTTTACTTCCTAAAGTGCCCTGTTCACAGTCACTTGTGATGTGACCTAGTTTTATCACTAATTTAATCTTAGCTGCTTGGCAGAAATTACCCTTGTTCATGTCATTATTCAGGTTTAGCTTGTGAATGAGTAATTCGCATCATCTCTTCTTTATCCTTTGGTTCCCCATCCTATCCTCCCTCCATGCCTGTCCTGACCCCTCTAGTATTTGGCTAACAAGCACTCAGTTCTTCCTGCATTCCAAAGCTTCTCATGGTACTTGCAAATGAGAAGGGATCCAGCCACAGGGCTGCAGAAAAGCCATTTCCTTTCCTGCTCCTGGTAAGATTCACTCTCTGCTTTCAGGAAGCTGTGTCCTCTCAGGCTCCCTCTGCCCTACAACGGTCCTCAGCTCTGCCCATCTCCTGGCAAAGAGCAAACAATGCTCTAGGCTTTCCTAGGTCTGAGGAGCTCCTGATATGTGAGACTCTTTGTTCAACTCTGAAGATGGAAAGCCCTGGACAAGCCAATTGACTTGGTCATCCTATGTCTACATCACTTTTGACTTCACTCTGAAGTTGACAGAAACCTGGTTTGTCCTAGAGAAAGGTTAAGCAGCAATGTGCAATGGATCTGCCATGAACTGTTGTGCAATTTTACTCAACATGGACTCCAGCCCAGTGACAGAGACTGAATTCCTCCTGCATCTGCTATACAGTCATGGGGACAGACTAGACGAGGGTGCATTTTCCCTACCGTCTGGCTAAGAGGTGACTTTCTAGCTTGCAGAAAGGTGTAATATGGGTAAGCAGAGACTATGGTGAGGCAAAGGCCTATTGGCAGAAATAGGAGGAAAGAGCTAGATGCACAGTTAGTTACACATTCAGATACTCAAGAAAAGATTTTCAGAGTGAATATATTAATCAGTTATGAAATCTAAGCATACAATGTCAGAAGAGACTCTGGAAAGCATAAAAATAATAGTTTCAGGGATGATTATTAGAGCACTTCCTATAGGGAAGATCTCCCAGACATCCTTATATATTACTCAGTTTGTTCACCAGGTCTGCACGGGAAGCACTGTTTTTATTTCATAGAAGAGTTAATGGAGTCATGAGGAGCAAGGAGCTTGCTCATGATCCCAGAGTCCTTCTTCTTGGGATGGATGCCAGGCTGTCCCCACTTCTCTAAGATGCCCCTTTCCCTATGTTCCTGTCCTGCAAACTTTCCTCGTATCATAAGGAAATCCCTTCACAAAGAAAGCTCTTGATTCTCCTGTGGACAAAACATGTCTCAGGCTTCCTGTGACACATTTTAAACTCATACTTGTGCAATGGATCTGCCATGAAAAATAAAACCTATAGTTGATATATTTGCTTTTTCACAGATACAGAAAAAGGCAAAAAAAAACAAAAAAAAAAAAACAAAAAAACAGAACTACAAGCGGACATTTGAAAACCACTTCACATCTTGCAATGTGACCACTGATAAGATCATCAAAAGGACACCATATTAACTAGGAAGTTTAAAAAATCACAGTGTCAGAACTCCATCTTCCCCCAAATTCATGCCTGTCCCTTCTGATCTTTACACTGATTGGATGCTTTGTCACCACCGAGGCTCTGTAAATTGTCACAATTCTTACTTGTTCCTTACAAGGCTACCATAATGCATAAAAAGCAGACAGCAGCATTCTCATTATACCAATTAAAAATGCATCCCAAGTTCAAGAGGTGAAATGACTTGCTTGGAGTCACACACCAACAGGGTATAAAGGGCAGTGAGAAGTGGACTATTTGGGTGCCTAAACACTGCTCCTGACTCAAGGAACTTGACCCCTGGCATGTGACTAGAGACTTTTCTACATGTTCTGCTGCATGCCAGATGAAGCAAGTTAAGAGTAACACTTCATAGTCAGTATTACCCAGTAAAGGAAACCCTGATACGCACCCCAGTGGCCTTCATTAGCTGCTGCCAATGCCTGTCCCTGAGAGCAGGGTTCTGCAACTCTGCAATGGCTCTCAGCGAGGTTGCCAGGTCCTTCACGGTGCCCTCCAGGCCCATATAAGCATCCCAAGCACGGATGGCCTTGTCCAGTGACCAGATTTCCTAAAGAAATATAGGGGAAAGGCCCAGCTTTCTATAGATTATAGAGAGAGATAGAGAGATAGATGCACACATGCACACACACATATAATTTATCCCCTTTGGAAAAATAAATATACCTTTCCCCATCCATGGAGAGAATGAAGCTGGATGTGATGGCAAATGTCAGCAACCCCAGCACTAGGAAAGCTATACAGAAGAATCCTTAGTATGAGGCCAGCCTGTCAGTCTGTGCTACATAGTACCAGGCTATCCTGTGCTACATAGGGTAACCCTGTCTCAAAAAAAAACAAACAAAAAAAAAGCAAGGAAGAAAGAGGAGACACTAAAACTTGTAGGCTAAGGGCTAACCTAGAGAAATGGAAAGGATCCAGTCACTCTGAATTATGAGTTTACACCAGGGTATGCAGGTTTCTTAAACATGAGAGTTAAGTGGGTGCCCCATGGAACACCAAGAGCAGGGAAGTGACAGAGCTCACAGCACACATAAAATAAACACTGTTTCTCTAGAAACACAAGTGAAAAAAGATTGTTGTCTGGATTAAGAATGCTGTCCTTGGAACGTCTGGCTCTTCTGAATGGAACCCTTGAAATGCTAGTTGTCTTTTTCTTGAAACTTAAACATTTTATGATTTCAAGATGTTTCAATAGGACCCTCACTAGCCTTGGCTCCCAGAACATCAGCAGTTGTGAATGAGAAAACCCATAATAAAACTGTGTAAAAGACAATGTGATTGTTTTAAAAATAAAGACCTGCAGTTGAAGAGTTTTGTTGTGAAGTGCAATGGCCAATGGCAGAGGAGGTAAGGGGGATGTGAACACAGAATGAGGAACTCGGCAGCCCCATTAGTATCAGGGTCTTCCACCCTGAGATTATATGGGGGGATAAAGTAGGCAGAGGTGGTACCAGCTGAGCTTGGAACTTAACCAAGCTCAAGGACATTTTGAGTTGGGAAGAAAGCAAAGGGCCCTGCCCTCTCCTTTTCTCCTCCTTCTAATATTGCTCAGGATGGTCTTAGGGGATCCACTCAAGTAGCTTGGTTTTCCAGGGCATAGCACTGTGCCTTACAGGATCTGCCATTTTTAACTGCCTTTCACTGCTGTGCATTTTGACTTTCTCCAAAAAAGTTCTACTCTTTTCAGATGACAAGGACTATGGGGACTATCAAGGCACTAATTCAAATAAGTGAAGGTCTATATGCCTTTTCAGAGACGAAGTGCTCACAATGCCAATAACGGAAAGCAACAGCCTAATTCCTAAGCCGCAGCCCCGAGCCCTGATGCCTTCCATCTTCTCTAAGCTGGATAGCCACAGCAAGCCCATGGTTAGAGCTATCTCTCATACACGCATTAGCTTTAATATGCTTTCATCAACTCATTCACAGACAGGCAGGCTTGATTAGACATGCAAGTAGCTGAGAGTGGAGAAAAATATTATCTGGTCTGATTCTATTTGAAGTAAATAAGGACACACAGCCTAACACACCAGATACTAGGCGAGGGAAGACGGAAGGAGGTGGTGCTGAGAAAGATAAATCGCCCTAACCGACAGTTATGGAACTTGCCTTGGCAAACCTTCTGAGTTCTACATCCATCTGTTCCACATTAATCTGTCGCCACTGGGTTTTAGTCCAATTATCAATGCTTCTCTGAAAATGCACAAGTAGATAAAATGTCAACAACATTTGGTGAAAGCAAGTCTCTGCAGCAAAATATATAAACTCAAGAGACACACTGACTCTCTTGTCCAGTGTAAAGATAATTTTTAAAATATTAACTGCACTTGTCAAAACTTCCCTGTCACTAAAACAAAAAAGTTGTCAGAACATGTCAAGCTTAAAGCTAAAATACCATGATATATTAATTTCTAGTAGCAATGATAAGTTCCACGTACACACAGTCGTTATCACTTAATCCTGTGTATTCTGAATAAATTGATAAGTATATTATTAAATAACAGGCTTCTATAACGCTATAGGTATTATAAAAATAAGATCTCACAAGAAGTCTTTATTGTAACAAAAATCTCATTAACCATTTCTTGACCATATTTTATATCTTGTTAATGTATCTCTTCAAGGCTTTAAAGTGACTTAAGAAATATATACAAGTCATAAATTTTCCTTTTTATACATAAGCTTAATTAATCACATATAATTAACTTTTTGTATATAAGGCTTAATTAATCACATACAAATTTACTATTTTCAGTAAGGGTCTGTTGAGATATGCATACAGATAGGTATGTTTATGTGAGGTGGGTGTAAGCAAGGTGTTTATATGAGTCTATATGTACAGATGACCATGTATGTTTAAAATATATTTATGCATTCATTTTTATTTGTATTCTATATAATACCTCCCAAAGGATCTGAGGTAGTCAGCTCATTATACAAAGTTTTAGCCTGAACTAAAGACAAAACCAACTGATATTCATGGTAGACACTGCCACTAACAGAGATACATGAACCTTAATTCTGGGAATAGTGGTAGGGAGTGAAATTTGATATGTGCATATTTCAAGACATTATGAAACTCAAATAGAATGATATAGACTCTAAACACTGCATGCTTACTTCAAATTATTACTACAAAACATTTCTGTCCAGAGTTCATCTTACTGTAACATAAACGATGACATCCCAGAGTCCCTTGAGCAGTCGTATCTCTTTGCGGCACTGCTTCATTGGTTTGTACTCCGGAAGGGCCACCTCGAAGAGACGCGCAGTGTCTTGCATCAGTGCCATTTCTTCCTCCAAAGTCTCGAGCTCCTCATTTGCCTGAGGAGAAAGCGTACCTGCACACCAAAGGCTAGAGACACAGGTGCCGCACCATCCCCAGTTCTGCTATTTCAACACTTCAAACTGGTTTTCAGAAGACATTTCAAGTAAAACTCTAGCATAATTACTGGCAAAATGTAAAAGGATTCAATTCACAAAACCTCAGCTACTCAGAAAGCAATAGCGGGGCATTAATAAAAACTATGAGGCTGTCAGTTCCATGTACAGAGCTCAGAAAACTTGCTTTGGTACCAAATTTCTATAAACATAATTTTTGTTTTCATTATGTAGCTATGAACTTCACTCAAGACCAAAGAAAGTTCCATGTAAGAATAAATTAGCCTTTTAATAATCACTTAGATTTTTAGAAAAAGAACTCTACCTAGGAGTAATGTCATGGCTAAGGCAGGAGGATCACTGAGAGTTCAAGGTCAGCCAGGGCCACAGAGTAAGACCCTGCCACAAAAAAAAGAAAGGGGGTAGGAGGGAAGGGAAGAAG